TCGTGGCAGGAAAAAACACGAAAACTGACCCAGAAACTAATTAATATGGTTTTTTATACATTAATTATTATTTTCATTTTTAACATTTTATTTTAAAACTAAGCTTTAAAAGGCTAGGTATGCAAACGAAGCAACCTAATTAGTCAACATTTTATAAAAGTTAAAATCAACCAAATTTCGAGTGATAATTCAACAACCAACAACTTAGAATAAAATTTGTTTTTCACAAGAAGGTACAATTATTTTAAATTATATACCTTTTTCTTTGTACTTTTTCTCAAGGAGAAAAATTTGAAGTATTTTTATAGCACTAATATTATCTAAAATACTTACGTTTAAAGGAGTGTAGTTACCCATTTCGTTGAGCAATAATAACTAAACCTTTGAAAGCTTACAAAAGCTATATATTGCGTAATTGTAACCACCGGCAAACGAATAGTTCCGAGAATTATTTTAATTTCGTTAATAGTTTTCAGAAAACATAAATAGCTGAGCTTAAAGCACGATAGTCATAGACTATTTTAACATGGATACAAGACCCAACAGAAAACATTCGATTTCAACTGGTAATTTCTACGTATTTATAATTTCCTCATATTTTAAAGTTATTATTACACTTTAATTAGTTTGGGAGTAAATGGAGTACACAGGTGCTTGTAAGAGTAAGAATTGGAGTTACTTATTCAATATAAGCAAAATCAACGAGCGAAGATGTGCATTCAAAGGTTATGAATGCATTGTACAAAAAAGTATGTACAGTATATGCAAAATATTTTTGAGTCTGCCATTATGAATCTTTGAATCACTACCATTTTTGACTCAGTTGTTCTTTTGAGCTCACATTTGTGTCATTGTATTCTGCAAATGAAGTCCATTAATTCTATGTGCTTATTGACGTTTACTAACATTATGATTTTCTTCCAGCTTCTAGAGGACAAGAGGTATAATAGCTATGCAAACACAAGGAATCTGAACGGCTGTATTTTTTGACTCGGTTATCCGTTTGAGCTAAAATGTGTGGTATTGTATTTCACTATGAAAGACCTTTAATTTGATGTACACATCAATCTATGCTTACATTTAAGACTTTATTCTGACTCGTCGCGGAAGATAACCCTGAGGAGTTATCACCATATCACTGAATAATTTGTAAAAATGATATTATTACCATGTGATTTTGTACGGTACTAAGTTTTGCAGCTCTATCTTTATTATTTTAAGTATTTAACAGTCCCGGGATTTTTTCCCACCCTGCATTTTATGTTGTATATTGCATAGAATTCTAAGTACGGCGACAGTGCAATTTCAACAAGGGACAGGATTGTACTGTCGGCCTCAGATAGCTAATCTAATTGAGTAAGTCCAGGGTTAGTAGTAATAGCAATAGTACTGTATTAAGTTTCAATATTTTGGCTCAGATGTGGTCATTAAGGCATCAATCAGCTTTCAGTAAATGACAAATTTATCATTGCCAAATTCAAACTTACGTTAAACAATAACAACCTTAGAATAATTGATTTTAATTTTTGAAGTAAACTAAATCAAGTATTTCGCTCTAGCTCCTAAATCTATTACTCAATACTACAAAAGATTAACAATGTAATGAAAGTAGTATTCAATATTTTGAAATATTGCCCAGTACTGAACATTTATTTTCCAGGCCACCACCTTGTATTGGGAGCATTTCATTTGGTCCAAAATCGTTTGGTCCAACAGTTATAAAACAGTTCGTTTGGTCCAAAATCGTTTAGTCCAACAGTTGTTTCGTTTGGTCCAAAACCATTTGGTCCAACAGTTGTAAAACTGTTCGTTTGGTCCAAAAACGTTTTATGATCCGTAGTATTTTTAAAAGGCCACAAAATTTATTAAAAATATGTTGGTGAGACCCAAAATTCAAAATTCTCGGCCTTCAAACAGTTCTAAACACGGCTGTGAACCATTTCAAAAGCCCCGATGTGGTAATTGCAAAATTATGAGTAGTACAACTGAATTTGATAGTAAAGTTACGAACAAGGTTCATCCGATTGTTGGGTGATTTGTCAACTGTCGTGTAAACATTGTCTAAAAGAATACATTGGCCAGACTTCAAACTCTTAGAGAGTTCGAATCACAGGCTATCGTGTTGATGTGGTACATGAAGACAAAAGAAAACAAATCTATAATCATGCCGCTCACCACAACCAAAATTTTAAAGGCTGCTATACCCTTAAAGCCCTTTACAAAGTAAACACACATCAAAATCCTAAATGCAACCAACTGTTCTTAAGAAATTCTGAATTAGCTTACCAGTTGGTACTGAAAACAAAGTTCCCCTCTGGTTTAAATTTAAGATAGTAAAAAAGTGATTCAACTTTTTTATTTTTATTTTCTTTTATGCCGATTTTATTGAGTGGAGCGAGCGAAGCGAGCGAAGCGAGCGAAGCTCTTATACGTCGACTCTTATGCATTTCGTAATACGCAAACTCCTCCTAGACGGCTGAATCAATCGTTTTCAAATTTTGCATGGTGATAAAGATCATATCGGTGAGTGCCAACATCTATATGGCGTTAAAAAAGTCTCTCAGGAATCCGCCCCACTGGGTCTCAAAGTTTCAATGTAATCCTTATGGAAGCAGTATTTGACACAGAAACAAATACATATGATCAGCTGTTAACTTTTGAATGCAGTAAATAAAGAAATAGCTGATGGCATAATTCCACAGCTATTAGAACTAAAACCGTATGGATCATAAATATAATCAAATGACGTCACTAGCTTGAGGTCCGTGACGTAGTAAGTGGTGAAGGAAGTAGTAAAGGTTAGCAGTCTGGAGTGTGGAACGACGATTAGATTAAGGTATCTGCATTCGTAAAATTCTATGGGAAGAGATGAAAACAGGTCCCCGACGTAGGAATTGGTGAAGGAAGTAGTCAAGGCGAACTGTCAGGGGTGTGGGAACTGTTTGTGACGATTAGATTGAGGTATCTGCAATCCTAAAATGCTATTGGAAGGGAAGGAAACAGTTCCACGACGTAGGAAGTGGTGAAGGAAGTAGTAAATGCGAGCTGTTCGGGGCATGGGATCTGTGTATGACCATTAGATTAAAATTTGCAATCCTATGATGCTATGGGAAGGGAGGGAAACAGGTCCGAGACGTAGGAAGTGGCGAAGGAAGCAGTAAAGGCATTGACTATATATTGTCAATGGTAAAGGCAAGCAGTCCGGACTGTGGGAACTGTTTGTCACGATTAGATTAAGGTATCTACAATCTTAAATTACTATGGGAAGAGAGGGAAACAGGTCCGCGACGTAGGAAGAGGTGAAGGAAGTAGTAAGGTGAGCAGTGTGGAGTGTGGGAACTGTAAACGGTTTTTAGTAGTTAGATTAATGTATCTGCAAAGCTGAAATGCAATGAGAAGGGATGGAAGCATACCCACGACATAGGAAATTGTGAAAGAAGAAGTAAAGGCTAGCAGTGCGGAGTGTGGGGAATGTTTGTGGCAATTAGATTAACGTATCAAAAATACTAAAATGATATGGAAATTGATGAAAACAGGTCCGTGACGTAGGAAGTGGTGAAGGAAGTAGTAAAGGCAAGCAGCCCGGACTGTGGGAACTGGTTGTGACGATTAGATTAATATATCTTCAATCCTAAAATGCTATGAGAAGGGAAGGAAACAGGTCTATGACGTAGGAAATGGTGAAGCAATTAGTAAGGCTAGCAGTGCAGAGTGTGGGAATTGTCTTTGGCAATTACATTAATGTATCTGCTATCCTAAAATGATATTAGAAGAGAGGGAAACAGGTCCACCACGTGGGGGGTGGTGAAGGAAGTAGTGAAGGTGAGCATCGTTGAGTGTGGGAATGGATTAATGTATCAGCAATACTAAAATGCTATGGGAAGAGACTGTAGACTGTGTAGGTTAAAATGATTACGAAGCACGAATCAATACATATTTCGATACATGCAATCGTTTACAATCTAAATTTACAACTGAGTTGACAACAGCTGATTTTTACTCCATAGAGGCTAAAAACTATTTTTACTCCATAGAGGCTAAAAACGATTTTTACTCACTAGAGAGTAAAAATACTACTTTAGACCCGCAACGCACGCATTAAAAACGACTGTTTTTTTACTGCAGTTTGACAAAAACAGTATAATATGAACCCTTGATGACTCCGCTCAATTTTGTGGATGCCTCTGCAAACGCCACCTAGTTATTTTATTTTTTTCTTTGACCTGTACTCAATCATATGTTCTCAAAATTAAACTATTTGTAAACAGTTCATATTTATTTGTTTTGTTCATTTTAACATTTTTCATTAACTTCTCTTTGCTTGAAGACGTCTGTATTATACGAACATTTGCAATGTTCTTGTTTCATTTATCATAACTCTATCAAGAAATCCTCAAGAATAATATATAGTACTGTAGCAGAGTCCCCATCCTTCTTATGGGGTTGGCGTATACGTAAACAACCGAATGAAAATATCGATCGATATATCGAATTAAATAATCGAATAATCAATATTACTCATTTGGTTGTTTGTGCCAACAGATATGGAAGTGTACCCTTTTAATTTACTGTATACTATAGTATAGCACATCTACCACAACCATAATGTTCTACCACCACACCTAAACAATAGAAAAAAGGCAATGTTCTCACAGTTTTTGTTGCTGCTTGGTTCAAATTAGCTGTAGTCATAAATAAAAGAATGAACAAGTATATATAACTATTAGTTAAGGTTATATTATAAGTGCCTAAATGTCATTAATTTTAACACGTATTTAACACTGTATCTTATTAACACTGTATCTCAAGTTAGATATTTGATAAAAGATTGAGGAAGTTATAATATTATTACTAATCAATTCGAGGAATCTGTATCCCTACAATATCTCAAGTGTTTCTTAATTAAATTAAGCCAAAGTTGACAAAGAGTTAGCTTTAACAGATTAATATTTTTGTTAGACTTTCCTAAATGACTGTTATATATTAAAGGCTATGTGAAGCCATTAGCCATTAGTTCACTATTCAAGCTTTCACATTAATGTCAGGTGTCAGGATGAAGTCGAAAAATGTTGCCTTGGTTTTATTCGCATTCGTCGTCATGCATGTAAGTAAAATTCATGCTTAATAAAACGTGTTTTAGAACATTTTTTTGTAAAAATTGTGCACACAAACACAAGGCAAATCAAAACTTTCAACGTTCTCTGGGTTTATAATTGGACATCTAGACAGTCTTGGAAAATATTAAACCCACATTTTTGTGGTAGTAAGGAAAATAAGTAAGATGTTTAAAGCTGTAATAATAATAATGCTTCACCAAGCATATTCATAGATATAAATTTTAATTTATTTACCTTGATTTGAATTTATTTACCTTGATTTGATGAGTAGATTTCTGTTGCCAAACATAGCATATATGTAGCATACATATAGAATATAGTAGCATATATGTATGATATACGTTTCTTGGAAACAATCCATTCGGAATTTTAAGTGTGAAACGAGACTTTCCAGCGTTTGAGAGATTTACTCCATATAAAAACTAAAAATATTGACTTCAAGTTGATAAAATATATATATAAAAAAAAACTTAATGAACGACACAAGTAAATCCTCCTATTTCTATTTTTTTTACCGTTAATATGGATAAACTACTAGCAAATAACGTTAATGAGTAGCCTATAGGCCAATGCGTTTATAAATTAAAAATTTAAAATGAAACTGAAAAATTTTTAATAGGAAATTCTTTTTACAGTTTGGATGATTTTTTAACTTTAAGTAATGTATTTATTTTATCTAAAAACTGCTGTTATATAAATCTTTTAACATTATGTAATTTATTTAAGTTATTTAAAAATAACATAATGACGCAAGCTTTAAACGGAATGGGAAACACTGAAACACTGCACCAGCTGATTGTAGTCGTAGTATCTTAAAGAATTACTCATTATCAAGAGTGCACGTATAAATGGTAATAATCAGCATGAACAGAATAAACAAGTATGTAAACAGGTTATTTTTTATAACTTATAGTTTTTTATACTGACAAATTTGTAACTTTCTTACTTACGCACCAAGAAGAAAACAGTTCGTATGCTCGTTTATACTTCTTTCTTGATTTTTCAGGTAACAGGTAATGAAACATGTTTTGCAGTTTCTGCTATTTCTGTATATATTCACAATCACTTTCACTGAGTTCATTATTTTCAAAAATGTTAGGCCCACTTATAACTATTCTTTCAAACTACATTTTTGGTTATGTTCAAACCAAGTGCTGGACGAAAATAGAATATAAACACGGAATGACAGGTTAAAGCGTAGTATCAATAGTCAATCAGCTGATCATACTAGCAGTATCTTTAAGGGTTACCACCCTATTTCGAAGCGTAAACGGACAACGTGCATAATACAAACACGCTGTTTTGTGTTGTTTGGTTAGAATACTGATGTGCGACAAAGTATAAACGGTGCGACAAAGTAAGTAAATGCAGCATTTAGCAGTTTTCTGTACTATAATCAGTGCAAGGAAGCCAACTTTGTCAGGTGACTGTAGGAAAAAAATATTTGAACGTTCAATGAATATATTGTCATCAATCATTTATATCAATTATATATATATATATCAATATATCAATTATTTAAGATGGAAACGCCCCTGAGTGCGTATTTTAACCCAAATATGAGTGAAGGATGAGTGTAGGATGAGTGGCGCGATCTTGTAGTCGTGTTAGTGACTAAGACGAGCATATTCCTTAGATACAGCTGTTAATTAATACCACATACAGCCAATGGCAACTAAGGGACCTACAGTATATAGTGGAATCCGAGCCAGATTTTCCCCTTATAATTAACAAATTGGTCTAATTATCAGGATAGTACTGCGGGTAGTCATAGTACTCACTTGTGCGGACGTTAATCCACACCAGAGAGTATCGCATCCACAGTGCATGCCTATAAATATCCACAATTTTTGACCTCCTAGTAGTTGGATTACGGGACGACGCCACCATCCCAGTCAGTATTAAGTTATGAAAAACACTACTTATTACCGTGTATTTTTCAGACGATTCAAGAGACGACGAGTCAAAGATGCACATTTAGTGTGAGGTGTGTGACCTGCAACATCAAACAAACCTGTAGAAACTTCTGGTTTACAAACATCCTTCAAAACATGACCTGCTCCACCAACGTGCCTTACTGTGACCCGGACACATCAAGTTGTGTGCGAACACCACCAGTATCTTGTCGACCGACTTCAACTACTACTATACTACCAACTACCGATGCACCCACCAGTGCACCTACTGCTGCACCTACCGATGCACCTACTGCTGCACCTACCGATGCACCTACTGCTGCACCTACCGATGCACCTACTGCTGCACCTACCGATGCACCTACTGCTGCACCTACCGATGCACCTACTGCTGCACCTACAGATGCACCTACTGCTGGACCTACAGATGCACCTACTGCTGCACCTACCGATTCACCTACTGCTTCACCTACCGATGCACCTACTGCTGCACCTACATATGCACCTACTGCTGCACCTACAGATGCACCTACTGCTGCACCTACAGATGCACCTACTGCTGCACCTACCGATTCACCTACTGCTTCACCTACCGATGCACCTACTGCTGCACCTACATATGCACCTACTGCTGCACCTACAGATGCACCTACTGCTGCACCTACAGATGCACCTACTGCTGCACCTACAGATGCACCTACAGATGCACCTACTGCTGCACCTACTGCTGCACCTACATATGCACCTACTGCTGCACCTACATATGCACCTACTGCCGCACCTACCGATTCACCTACTGCTTCACCTACCGATGCACCTACTGCTGCACCTACATATGCACCTACTGCTGCACCTACAGATGCACCTACCGATGCACCTACCGATGCACCTACTGCTGCACCTACCGATTAACTTGCCAATATTTTACTGTGTTTATAGACTTTTAGACTCGTTTATCCTGTTATAATTATTTCAAAACATTTAATCATAGCGTCAATAGCTTTAACTGTTGGTTATAATACCTTTTTATTTTCAAAATCATTATGTTTTATTAACGAAAAATACGTCAAAATATATCTATGATATTATATTACATTAACATCTTCAGCTTCAGCAAACTAGTCAATAGTAATTTAAAAATTGTTTAGAACTTAATAAACAAATCCAATTTTGTAATTTGTGCACCAGACTTATGACCTGTAGGCCAGGGTTAAACCCCTGACAGTCATCTATGACTTTGATTTTGTCATTAAGGTTAAATCCTGAACCTCAACCTGACCCTTAACATGAACCTTAACTGAACCTGGTGTAGGTTTGGTTAACCTGCGAATTTAATCCTAAATTTTATAAAATAAATAAATACCTACCTCAGGTAAGGAAAAGTGTTACTGAATTTAACACCCCCCTCCCCACCAAATAGTCATTATCACACAAAAAGTAATTAAGCAATTAATTAGGTAACTAAGCCTACTATTTATTTTTTCGTACAACCTATGTGCTAGAATTTTTTAACTGTTAAGGACTTCTTGGAGACAATCTGGCAAGTTTTGGTCAGGAAAGCGTCAGGAGTGGAAAGAGGGTGAGTTAATTTGATTGAAGCTCAATCCTGTCACTTCCAGAGCCTCAAACTTTTAATTGTTTCCACTTGTCCGACCATCCCATGTCTTGTTTAGTGGTTGATAGCTTTCATAACATGATTTGACTCTTGTTATGTATAAATAACACCAAATATATAAGCAGGCAGAACCCAAATAAAACAAATGAATCGTTCAATTGCAAAGCAAATATGGTAATAACCTATTTTCTAAGTTGTGATTATGGAATTGAATTGATATCCTAACATTAAAACTCACAGTGCATGTCAAAATCTGTCAATTTCCTATTTTTTACACTGTTAAAATACTTAATGACAAATGAACTACTCACGTGATTTTCAATAATTTTCCCTTAAAAATAATGGTTGACTTTTAGCGAATTTCCCCTATAGGGAATAAGCCATTACCGTAGTACTCATGGTAAGACATGGACCCGGGACCGATTTACTTTTTCGTTTTGAGGTCCCTAGAGACCAAAAACACCATCCGTTCAAATTCATATATAATGTATATATATATAATGTATATATATATAATGTATATATATATATATATATATATATTTATATATGTGTCCGTTAGCGCAATAACTCAAGCAAAAATCATCCGATTTTGATGAAATTTGGTACAAAAGTGTAAACCTACGTTTATTTGAACGAGTTCGCGAACCAGCATGATCGGACTATTGGAACAGGGGCTTATGGGGGGTTTTATGGGACAAAAATTGGTTTTTCCCATTTTTGACCCTAAAAACTTAAAATTTTGCATTTTATTTCCAAACCATTTTGTAGAGCTTAAAAAAACAAATAATTTAGTATATTGAAGTGTTATTATGCGCCTAATGGTTACGGGGAAAATTCCAAAAAACTGTAAATTTAAAATTCTCATGTTATTCTTATGGAGAATAAGTAAACTGTTGAAGTTTGCTTATTTTGATCAAATTTGGAAAATGCATTCTAAAGCTGTTTGTTTTCAAAACATAATATAATAATAAGAAAAACTAGTTGTTCTTATTTTATCTAAAAACTGCTGTTATATAAATCTTTTAACATTATGTAATTTATTTAAGTTATTTAAAAATAACATAATGACGCAAGCTTTAAACGGAATGGGAAACACTGAAACACTGCACCAGCTGATTGTAGTCGTAGTATCTTAAAGAATTACTCATTATCAAGAGTGCACGTATAAATGGTAATAATCAGCATGAACAGAATAAACAAGTATGTAAACAGGTTATTTTTTATAACTTATAGTTTTTTATACTGACAAATTTGTAACTTTCTTACTTACGCACCAAGAAGAAAACAGTTCGTATGCTCGTTTATACTTCTTTCTTGATTTTTCAGGTAACAGGTAATGAAACATGTTTTGCAGTTTCTGCTATTTCTGTATATATTCACAATCACTTTCACTGAGTTCATTATTTTCAAAAATGTTAGGCCCACTTATAACTATTCTTTCAAACTACATTTTTGGTTATGTTCAAACCAAGTGCTGGACGAAAATAGAATATAAACACGGAATGACAGGTTAAAGCGTAGTATCAATAGTCAATCAGCTGATCATACTAGCAGTATCTTTAAGGGTTACCACCCTATTTCGAAGCGTAAACGGACAACGTGCATAATACAAACACGCTGTTTTGTGTTGTTTGGTTAGAATACTGATGTGCGACAAAGTATAAACGGTGCGACAAAGTAAGTAAATGCAGCATTTAGCAGTTTTCTGTACTATAATCAGTGCAAGGAAGCCAACTTTGTCAGGTGACTGTAGGAAAAAAATATTTGAACGTTCAATGAATATATTGTCATCAATCATTTATATCAATTATATATATATATATCAATATATCAATTATTTAAGATGGAAACGCCCCTGAGTGCGTATTTTAACCCAAATATGAGTGAAGGATGAGTGTAGGATGAGTGGCGCGATCTTGTAGTCGTGTTAGTGACTAAGACGAGCATATTCCTTAGATACAGCTGTTAATTAATACCACATACAGCCAATGGCAACTAAGGGACCTACAGTATATAGTGGAATCCGAGCCAGATTTTCCCCTTATAATTAACAAATTGGTCTAATTATCAGGATAGTACTGCGGGTAGTCATAGTACTCACTTGTGCGGACGTTAATCCACACCAGAGAGTATCGCATCCACAGTGCATGCCTATAAATATCCACAATTTTTGACCTCCTAGTAGTTGGATTACGGGACGACGCCACCATCCCAGTCAGTATTAAGTTATGAAAAACACTACTTATTACCGTGTATTTTTCAGACGATTCAAGAGACGACGAGTCAAAGATGCACATTTAGTGTGAGGTGTGTGACCTGCAACATCAAACAAACCTGTAGAAACTTCTGGTTTACAAACATCCTTCAAAACATGACCTGCTCCACCAACGTGCCTTACTGTGACCCGGACACATCAAGTTGTGTGCGAACACCACCAGTATCTTGTCGACCGACTTCAACTACTACTATACTACCAACTACCGATGCACCCACCAGTGCACCTACTGCTGCACCTACCGATGCACCTACTGCTGCACCTACCGATGCACCTACTGCTGCACCTACCGATGCACCTACTGCTGCACCTACCGATGCACCTACTGCTGCACCTACCGATGCACCTACTGCTGCACCTACCGATTCACCTACTGCTTCACCTACCGATGCACCTACTGCTGCACCTACAGATGCACCTACTGCTGCACCTACAGATGCACCTACTGCCGCACCTACCGATGCACCTACTGCCGCACCTACATATGCACCTACTGCCGCACCTACCGATGCACCTACTGCTGCACCTACAGATGCACCTACTGCTGCACCTACATATGCACCTACTGCTGCACCTACCGATGCACCTACTGCTGCACCTACAGATGCACCTACTGCTGGACCTACATATGCACCTACTGCTGCACCTACATATGCACCTACTGCTGCACCTACATATGCACCTACTGCCGCACCTACCGATTCACCTACTGCTTCACCTACCGATGCACCTACTGCTGCACCTACATATGCACCTACTGCTGCACCTACAGATGCACCTACTGCTGCACCTACATATGCACCTACTGCTGCACCTACAGATGCACCTACTGCTGCACCTACATATGCACCTACTGCTGCACCTACATATGCACCTACTGCTGCACCTACATATGCACCTACTGCCGCACCTACCGATTCACCTACTGCTTCACCTACCGATGCACCTACTGCTGCACCTACATATGCACCTACTGCTGCACCTACAGATGCACCTACCGATGCACCTACCGATGCACCTACTGCTGCACCTACCGATTAACTTGCCAATATTTTACTGTGTTTATAGACTTTTAGACTCGTTTATCCTGTTATAATTATTTCAAAACATTTAATCATAGCGTCAATAGCTTTAACTGTTGGTTATAATACCTTTTTATTTTCAAAATCATTATGTTTTATTAACGAAAAATACGTCAAAATATATCTATGATATTATATTACATTAACATCTTCAGCTTCAGCAAACTAGTCAATAGTAATTTAAAAATTGTTTAGAACTTAATAAACAAATCCAATTTTGTAATTTGTGCACCAGACTTATGACCTGTAGGCCAGGGTTAAACCCCTGACAGTCATCTATGACTTTGATTTTGTCATTAAGGTTAAATCCTGAACCTCAACCTGACCCTTAACATGAACCTTAACTGAACCTGGTGTAGGTTTGGTTAACCTGCGAATTTAATCCTAAATTTTATAAAATAAATAAATACCTACCTCAGGTAAGGAAAAGTGTTACTGAATTTAACACCCCCCTCCCCACCAAATAGTCATTATCACACAAAAAGTAATTAAGCAATTAATTAGGTAACTAAGCCTACTATTTATTTTTTCGTACAACCTATGTGCTAGAATTTTTTAACTGTTAAGGACTTCTTGGAGACAATCTGGCAAGTTTTGGTCAGGAAAGCGTCAGGAGTGGAAAGAGGGTGAGTTAATTTGATTGAAGCTCAATCCTGTCACTTCCAGAGCCTCAAACTTTTAATTGTTTCCACTTGTCCGACCATCCCATGTCTTGTTTAGTGGTTGATAGCTTTCATAACATGATTTGACTCTTGTTATGTATAAATAACACCAAATATATAAGCAGGCAGAACCCAAATAAAACAAATGAATCGTTCAATTGCAAAGCAAATATGGTAATAACCTATTTTCTAAGTTGTGATTATGGAATTGAATTGATATCCTAACATTAAAACTCACAGTGCATGTCAAAATCTGTCAATTTCCTATTTTTTAC